ACAAAGTTTTACTCCTTTGCAGTCTTTGTAACAGTGAACTCCTCGAGGAATTGCACATTTATTTATTTATTTATTTATTTATTTATTTATTTATTTATTTATTTGAATTCCACATTTAGTAAGCAAAATCGCCGAAACCGCCCCCACGTCCCTTCTATTGAGAAATGCGTGCATCTCTTTCGTCCCTATTGCGATCTTTGGGACTTTACCCGACCTTTGCAGGGACAACTGGGGTAGAGACAATTTGTTATGATACATCCCCACAGATGATCCAAATCCCATCGCTCCAATGCAGAACAAAGGGAACGTGTGCTGCTCCTTTTTCTTCGGCCCACATTCCTTCTGGGGTTGACTGTGAATGGAAGAGAGGTCTAAGTTGGAAATGTTTGGAATTGTGTTTCGGATATTCAAAAGATTACACAGAAAGCCTTCCCGAGCAGGTGCTAGGGAAGAGATAGACCGCGGCCGAGTCAGGAATCACTTTCTGCGCCGTAACAATGGAAATGCGATCTTTAGTTAACACGGACTCAGAATTTAGAGCAGGCGATTGGGACCAAGGTCAGTGGTTCGCGCCTTGAGATCGATTCGTGCCTCTGACCTAGATCGTTTGTGTGCGCTGCGCTTGTTGGTAACTTTGCTCCTGCGGTAATTTATGTGACTCATCTGCAGAGCCTCCGAGCTGCGGAGAGGGGGCCGGTGGAGCTTCCCTGGCCGGCAAACCGGCCTCCAAGAGGAGGACAGGAATAAAGAGATGGATGGGAAGTCAATTCCTGGGTCTCCTGTTCTAGGTGATGTACAGTCTTTCGTTTCTCTGCTCTTGGTCGGCAACCTTTGGTTTCCAAATGCTCACCAAATGCTCATTTTCTTTGTAATTTTCCATGAAAATATTGCTTCAACTGCTGAAAATCAAGCAGCCGATTTTCAATCAAGATTCACAGGCTGTAGACAGGCACTCCTTGCCGGCAAGAGATAGAAACATCTGCAGACACACATGTACCCAAACGTGCAGGTGGCAACACAGAACACACATCCACACAGGTGCGCAGTGGAGACTGCTGTAAGCATAGGCGATGCGGCACATGGGATTTGTTCATCATCAGCTGAACGCAGGGTTCAAATCCTTTGGACTGGAATGGGTCTGGGGGGGCAGTGGGTAGGGGGAGGGTAGTCAGATGGGAGATGGAAAGCAATGAACTTCACCTCCTACTGCACAATCCCTCCCAATATTCTCCTACTCAAGTAAAAGCCCTAAGGTCAGGTCTTGATTGGTATTTCCATCAGTTTCATCTTTGAGTGAAGGAACACTTAGGTGGCATCTATTTGCCTGCCAGATACCGAGGTGATGCCCATGAGTATGATACCAGAGTTGCACTCGAGAATTAGAATCCTAGTGGGTATAAGACGATCTTACATAGAGTTGTGGCGTAAGTTATCACGCCCTGGTTCAAATTGACTTTTCTTATTCTCTTTTTTAAATTAAATTATTTTTTAGTAAGGCTCTACTCATAATGTGGGGCTTGAACTCACAACCCCTAGATCAAGAGTCACATGCTCTATGGACTGAGCCAGCCAGGAGCCCCTGGCTTCTCCATTCTAAGAATACTGGAATGGGCACCTAAGATTTCTTTCAAGGAAGTCCAGTCAATGCCACTGGGCCTCCCAATGGACTGGGAGGTCAGGCTGTGGCTGACACTCTTTTACTCACCTATGGACGATGGGACCTGTGAGATGGACCCTTTCTTAAAACAAAAGAAGCTTCCTGGGGCACCTGGGTGGCTCAGCGGTTGAGCATCTGCCTTTGGCTCAGGTTGTGATCCCAGGGTCCTGGGATCAAGTCCTGCATCAGGCTCCCCACAGGGAGCCTGCTCCTCCCTCTGCCTATGTCTTTGCCTCTCTCTCTGTGTCTCTCATGAATAAATAAAAATCTTTTAAGAAAACAAACAAAAAAAAAGGGAGCTTTCTTATCAGTGGAATTGATAAGACTATAATTCTAGCATGCTTAGCTCTAGAATAGTTTTATCTGATATTACAAGAAATCAAAGACTACAAAGGACAAGTGATGTAACCAGGGGCCTACAGCTCATTATTTGAAAGAGCTGGGAGTGGGATATAGGGTTGTAAATTTTTTTCCACATTTTCTATGTTCTTCCTGTGACAGCACATTTTATTCATGCCCAGGAATAAAAAAAAAAAAAAAAGGATCTTCTCCGTATTAGGTGTATGTGCCTAAAGATGTGTTCTGATCCAGACAGGAGAGATGGAAGACCATTCGTTAAGATAAACATTGGAAAGCACCTGGCAAAATGCCTGCTACATGACGGCGCTCAAGACACAGATGGCCATCCTCATCACCATCATCCTCCAGGTCCCCATCATCATATTCTATGTCAGCCACTACTTCAAAAACTGGCAAATTCACTTCTCAAAAAGATTCCGCACGGGGGGGGGGGCACCAGGGTGGCTCAGCAGGTGAAGCGTCTGCCTTCGCCTCAGGTCATGATCTCAGGTCCTGGGATCGAGCGCCGCACCCGGAGTCTGCTTCTCCCTCTCCCTCTTTTCTCTCTCTCTCTCTCAATTAAATTAATAAACTTAAAAGATTCCACACTTTACAAAGTCATCTTCAATTGTATTCATTAAATTTTTACCTGCCTTCCAAAAAATGTACACGAATCGAGTACATTCTTATGTGGAGGAAGATCTACTTACTCTCAACTCAAATACATATTTGCATCGCTTACGAAATGTTAAGTAGCTTTTCATTTGTACTGTCTACAAGACAGTGATGATAAAAGACACCCATAAAGTCTGGAAATATAGTTATTATTAGTTCTTGACCACATTATTTATATTCGCCTATGTTTCCAGGCTTTATGGACATCCTGTAGATCATAAACACAGCAAATGAGAACAAATTGCTTGCCATTTTGGAGAAATTCCTCATGTTTTGCGTGCTTGGCTTAAAAAAAATACATTTTATGATGGAATCTCTGTGTTTATAAACAAAACCCCAAAAAATTTACAGAGAAAGAAATCATTTTGATTTTCTTACTCAATATTGGTTTCATAAACCATGACCGAATTATGGCAAATCCGAACTTGAAAGATGGTTACTTTGTTTAAGTGAGTTTAATGTGTTCAGGACTGGGCAATTTTTACTCTTGTTGTTTTTCCTAAATTTCATCCTTCTCTGAAGTTTTAAAATTCAATCATCTGGGTTAATTTCTCTTAGGCATTTCTGAGCCCTACAACATGGAAAGTTTTGTTATGCAGGATTTTTCTTTTGGTCTGCCAGGCACCTCCTGGAAGTGAAAACAATTTAATTTTCAAAAATAGTTTTTTTACCCTAAAGACTATAAGAACAGATTACTTTTTAGAGTGGTCCTTAAAATGATCAGGTTCTCTGTAGCTATCAGGCTAACTAGAAAATATGAGACCTCTTCATGGTTTGCCGGGCCCACGTTAAACTGGTTTTCAGGTTCCACAATGACAAAAATCATAGCCCGGGTGACCATCTGCCTGGTCAATAAGTGGCCAGCGGTGGCCTGAGTCAGCTAATTGTGCATAATTGGGATTATGTAGTAGAGATGACACTCCCCTCTCCAAACAAAGAAAATCACATTTGTGCTGTTTCATGTGACCACTGATCTTTTCTGGCCAGCAAGGGCAAAAATTGGGGTCGTCATAAAGTCTGCGTCTGCAAATGGCCAAGATGGTGGGAATGAATGATCAATTCTGGGAGAAGAGGGAGACAATAGGCAGTGGGGGAGGGGGAAAGGGAACCAGGGACAGGGGAATCAGAACGAGATGGGGGTGGGGGGCGGCATGGAATCTAGGGCTGGGAAAATTATTGTCACCCATCTGTTAGATTCCAAAATGCAGGCACATTCAGTGTCTCAGACCTGTCTTTCGAGTCTGAAATGGTTATCCACGTAGCTTCGGAGGACAGGTGTGTCGTGGGGCCCCCGGTGGGGCCCAGGGAAGGTGTTGGCGTGTGCAGAGGTGTTGGAGGTGTTGGGAGCGTGTGAGGAGGGTGTTGGGTGTGCCTGGGGCACGTGTAGAGAGCAGAAAGTATGCCCTTGATTTGAAGATTGCTGATTTGTTCTGTTCAAGCCCTTCTGGGGTCAGGTACCATAGAAGCTGGACAGGAGCTGAGACAGCCAACCCTCAGCAAGAGGGTGACTGGTCGGTGTGTCAGAAGTCAGAAGGAGGGCTTGTCCTCGAGGCCCCAGAGCAAAGGCCCAGCGCCGTGGCAGCAGCAGCATGATGGGGACAATGGCTTTTGGTGGCTGTGAAGCAGAGGGCTGGAACGAGGCCCTGCTTCCCGGCCATGATACCCAGAGAGGGCCATGGGCTCTCTTGCTCCCCAGCCCGCCTCTCCTAGAGAGTGTCAAAGGCACTGCGGATGAAACAGTGCCAGCAGCACGGTTGACTCCGGCCAGAGAAAAAAAGCCTTGGTGCAGACTTAGTCCAGGATTTCTCAATCCAGGCACTGTGGTCATTTGGGGGTGGTCAAGCCTGTGTCATGGGGCTGTTCCGCGCATCCTAGGGTATTTAGCAGCACCCCTGGCCTCCACCTACTAGATGCCACAGCACCACGTCTCCCCCTGCTCATCCTCTCCTCCCCCGGGATCGTGACTACCAAACAGGCTTCCAAGCCAGTGCCACATGTTCTCTGGCTGAGGGGTGGGGGCAAAAATCACCCCAGGTTGAGAATCACTGTTTGGGGGCCCTCATGCTCTGCTCTGCTAGTATCTACTAAGGCAGAGGCTTTCCCCAAAACTCAGAACATCTGAGGAGTTGCGCCTTTGTTAATCCGGCCACGTGGTTCTATGCGTTCAGGTGCGAGGCCTGGCGTCTGTGTACGCATGTATGCTTACATGTGGCTGTCCCTATGTCCCTATCTTACTGGCCACTTGAGAATGCTCTGGGAGTCAACCAGCCCTTGTTTTAACGGTCAGTCCAAATTCCAAACACACAGTGCAAGGCCACGGAGCAATCTCTGTGACTTAGACTGGAGCCTGCAGCTCCACGGCCGACCCTGCAGAGCAGATCCCCCAGGTCCCCCTATTCACGGGTCACCTGTTATATGACAGGCTCTGTGTTCGGGAGACACAGAGGGAAGAAAGTCAGGTAAGGCCATTGTCCTCAGGGGGCTTACTTTCCAGAAGGTGGAGGCGGTGTGGAAAATCGAGGATCAGATGGTTTCAGGGGGCCTGGCTTTACTCTGGGTCAAGCTTTTCCAAAAGCTTCGAGGCTCCAGCGAGGGGCTTCCACCTCTCAAGCTCCTCCGAGTGCAGGAGGGGCCTTGGCAATGCGGTCCCCCGTCCATCTTTCTGTTTTTATAAAATTGGCAAAAAGTTCACATAGCTTTTCTTTACAAGGGCCCTCAAAGTACAGAAACTTCAGGTCCTATTTTCAAGATCTATCCGGATGGAGACTGAGAAAAATGCATCCCGGTTTCATCCACGGACAGCAGGGGAAGAGAGAATACATCATCCATCCGGAAAAAAAAAAAAAAAAAAAAAAAAAACAAAGTAATGAGAAAAGACTCCGAGGATCCCCCATGCGGGGGAAGGGGGCATCCTTCAGAGCCCAGGGTCCTCAGAGGAACAGCCCCGGGGTGGAGGAAGCAGGGAAGCCAGGCCCTGGAGGAGGCGGCAGGACTGAGCAGCTGGTCCAGGGCGCTGGGTGGGAGCTGGCCACGGCGCTGGCGCGGCCCCCGGCGTCCTCCCGGCCATTGTGCCGGGTATTGATCCGGCCCGGGAGCCACGGGGCCGCGGCAGCTGAAGCTCGGGGGTGGGCGCCATCGATCGGCCCCTCCCCGGGTGATTTATAGGATGCGCCGGCCGGCCCGGGCCCGTAACCGTAACCGTAACCGGGAGAGCTTGTTTAACGAGGGATCGGGGCGCTCTCCGCTAGCTGGTTAACTTTAAGTATTGGAAATGGGATTGATGCGCGCATAATAATATTATGATTCATACAAACCACTTCTCAGGCAACTCAATATATTTCATTACCTCCTTTCTAGCAAATGTATTGATTTCTGTTTTGCGGTTTTATAACACAATTTCAAGGCTGTTGTGGGCTTAATGAGCCGTGTTCTTATGATGTTTAAAAAGATTTGAAGCTATTGTTGAAATAAATATTATGGATCACCCCCTCCCGAGGCCCCCCCGCCCCCCCTCCTCCTCCTCCTGCTCCTCCTCCTCCTCCTGCTGCTGCTGCCCCCCCCCCCGTCCTCCCCGCCCTCCCCCACCCGCCCCTCCCCTGCCCGGGCGGTGCCGCCAGCAGAAAGCAGGGGGCTGCAGCTCTGCGGCCCTTTTGTGGCCCAGATCAAAGGGCCCGAGCGCCACAAAGGCCGCCCCACTCGGGCCGCGCGGCCACACACAGCCGCACCTGCAGCGCGGCCAAATGTCATTGTCGCTTCTGCGGGGCGAGCGCGGGGCACGTACCTCGGAGGCGGCAGATGACTCTAATAACGCTTGATGAGAATTGATGGGGAAGGAGGCGCGCGGGGTCCAGGGCTTTTTATTAGCTGCCCCGACTGCCCGAGCCCGAGCCCGGGCGCCTGCACCTGTGGACTCCCTTCCTCCCAGCCTTTATGGAAGTTGACAGATTTTATTAACTTTAAGGAAGAACTTTCCAGCGTGCGGAGGGCCGCCGTTTATTTTGTATTCATGCGAAACGGAAACCGAAAAAGCCATGTTTACATATTTACCGGCCCCAGTGACTTCCCTCTGGGGCTCCATAAGTCACGTTCCAGATTAATTTTGTCATAAAATTGACTAGTGTGCTAAGGGATCTTGGGAGTTTGGGGGCTGTCCTTGGATGTGTGCATTCCCTTTTTTTTTTTTTTCCAATGGGAGAAAGCTATATTCAATTATCTAATATCTCAGAGGAACCCCCAAAGACTTCCCAAATCGTGCAGGAATTGGAATGCTTTTTTTTTTTTTTTTTTTTTAAAGCATTTTGCTCCCCGGGAGAGAAAGCATTTGCAGGGACCCGAGTAGCTTTTGCTCACAGCAAGGCTTCCCAAATCTTTTTGATAAACTAGAAACAAAGGCAACAAGGACCAGAAGCATCTTCAAACTTCGTGGGAGTGACACTTGGGGGGTTTGGGGGTGAGGGGCTCGTGCGTGTGTCCGGGCTCGGACACTGGAGGCGAAACCCCAGCACATTTAGAAGAACACATTTTAGTTTTATTAAAATAATCTGGTTGGTGGACAAAATATTATTCCCTAACCCAACATAATTTTGCATAACTTCTACACTCTATTAGAAAGCTCCTAACTGGGGGGGGGAGGGGGGCACAAAGTATTAGCATTTTGCTTATATTCCTATTTGTCCATGGGTCTCAGGATATTTTTAGGGTTTATGTCTCATGACAAATGGAAGTCTCTGATGATGAAAATTCATGTTATATTAATGGCCCAGTGTTGAAAATTCAGCCACAGAGTCAGCTGGGTATATTGCTTATTAGCTTAAAAGCATAAAGCTTTCTAGAGCTTCCTTTTGTGTGCCAAATAAACTTCAAATGAACCGAGGATCATTTTGCAGGAAACTCTTAAGTTGAGCGATAATAGAAAGTAGTTAGTAGAATATTACACTTTTCATTTGGGCAAACAGATGGGATGCCTGCTTTTAGATTTAATCAGAGGCTGACAGACAGGTAGGACGCCGGCATATTTTAGTTGGAGTCTCTTTCTTTTCAGGAAAGAATGAAACTACTTAATATTCAGTATGCCCGCCACCCCCCCACACACACCCATCTATTCCGCATGCCCCGTGATCTCCAATGCCTAACTTTTTCTCATTTCTGATGACATTTACAAAGTACAAAGGGCATCTAACTGCAAGTGAATCCGTTTATTAACACATCTTTTACTCTATTCTTCCCTCGCAAAAAAAAAAAAAAGAGTTATGAATGTGTCTGTGTGCGTGCGCGCGTGTGCGTGTGTGTGTGTGTGTGTGTGTGGTTAAAAAATAAAACAACGGCTGTTGAAATCACGAAGAGTACACCCAAATCTCCATTTACATAGACACAGACGTAAATAAATGATTTAACAATTTGGGAGTCATGAGTCTCTGACCTCATGCTTTCTCAACTAACCTTTTTAAAAGATTTTGATACCAATTGTTTCTCTTTTTTCCCCCAGAAGCATAATACGTGGTAACCCTAGCATGTACAATCTGTTTCCACAGAAGCATACAGACAAGTGCAGCCAATGGTGGATTTTAATATCGTGGCGCAGCTTATATTACCTTGCTGGAAACCAAATCTCCCCCCACCCCGACCTCCTTCAAATGCAAGTCCCTTGACACCCCCATCGGAGATCATTTGTTATGCAGAGTTTTGTGAGGCAATCAAAATTAATTCACAGCGATCTTTTCACCCAGAACCTCCAGCCTCTAATAATGGTCTTTCTCAACAGGTGTTCATTGTGGCAATCTGACTTCAAATTGCCAGACTAAAGGTTTTATTCTTTCGTCATTTCTTTTTTTAATCTCAAACTTGTAATTTACTAATCTGTAGCAGCTGCCAAGAAGGGCCCAGCTGCTTACCAAGAGGGGAAGTGTACCTCCTAGGAGGCCAGGGCAGGAGACCCTCACCTCTGGACAACCAGGAGGGAACACTTGAGATTCACAGCCTGGGCGGGACCGGGACAGACATGGTCCCAGGGGGCCCCTTCCTCTGAGACTGACCTAAAATTGGTGATATCCGATCGGTCATAGTGGACCCCTCCAGAAAGGCTTCAGCAACGCCATGGGCTTTGCACAAGTGAGGAGAGATGGGATTTTAGCAGTGGCGACACCAATCGCCAGAAAAACACCATGCAGAAGAGAAGGATCTTGAAAACTTGCATCATTTCAGCTCGGGCCAGTTGAACTTGCCCAGGCTAACGTGCTGTCTTTGTCAGCTTTCAGATCTGCCCTCCTTTTAAGGTAACTCCAGAGTGGGGAGGGAGGAATTAAGTTTTACTGCAGAGATTCTTGGACTTCATGGCTCAGCAGAACCAAGTTGGCTGAGTGCTGAGTGTGTGTGAGAAAGCAGGAGACCAGACTTGCCATTTCCAGATTGCTAGGACTCTAAGTGCCAGGGTTCCGGCCCTAGAGATCCCGATGTAGTAGGTTGGCACCAGGCCTGGGATTATACATTTAACAAGTATCAGGGGGGCCTGATGCCAGGGGCCTTGAATCCCTTTCATCATGGCTAGCTGTTCCACTGCCTCAGTAATCCCATCTCTATAGTGGGTTTCCCCACTTCAGCCTCCACAGGCAGGTGGTTCCCAGCACAGACACACAGGGCCCCGCCCCTGGGCAGGCATTCCTGGGAGGCCACGGTGCTGGCTAACAGGTGCTTTTCTTCCTAAGGAGATGGCACCTTGGAAGGACCGAGACAAGGTTGTCAAGAAGTAACCCACTTTGCATGTAGTAAACCTTGGCCTCCTGGTTTTTGGGGTAAATGATGCCTGCAGCTTGTTTATTCCCTCTGGGCGGATGTCTGAGAGGAATCAGCCTAGGCTGAAGTGAGTGCTTTGGGCCAAGACTGGAAATAGAGGCAAATCCTCCCTGGTGTGGGGGTTGGAGGCTCCCCAGGGGGCAAAGAGGACATTGGGAGGTATCGGCTGCAGCTCTCAGCTTTATCATAGGCTAGGAGCCAGGGTTCTGTGAGGGGTGAGAAAGGAGACAGGGTGACCATCAGTGTCCTGTCTGGCCCCAGACTTATGGGAAGAGGACTTGGATTCCTTTGGTATATGCTAGAAAAAGGAGACACAGACCTAGGCAGCTTCAGAGAGGGGAAGCAGAAGTCTTATATGAAACCCAAACAATGACAGAGAGGGATGCCTGCGTGGCTCAGCTATTGAGCATCTGCCTTTGGCTCCGGGGGGTGATCCCAGGGTCCTGGGATCGAGTCCCGCATCAGGCTGCTTCTCCCTCTGCCTGTGTCTCTGCCTCTCTTTCTCTGTGTCTCTCATGAATAAATAAATAAAATCTTCAAAACAAAACAATGATGGTCTGGAAATACTAGAACAAGGCTGTATTGAGGATCCCATTGTCTTGCAGGCTACCCCTCCCCCTAGGCCACTGCTCCACAGAATAATCCCCACCTGGGAGGCAGAGGTGCCTTC